GCTGAGAAGTAACTGCAAGGAATGCAAGAAAGATGAGTATAAGGGGGTCAGGGGATGCCTTTTGCAGAGACATTTTCAATTGGCCATGAATGGGCAAGGTGTTGGTTTATTAATTTATTTATTTTTCAAATAGGGGCACCTTCTAACATTCCTACCAGACCTAAAGGTTCTGATATGTTTTGGGAGGGGACCCCACGCTGGGTTTTTTTTTTACTTTACATTTTTGTTATTATTTTAACTTTTTAAAAATGTTTCTTTTTTTTTTACATTTATTTAAACAATTCTTAAACAATTTTGTAAAATGTGTTTAACTAGGAGGTAGCGTGCAGAATAGCCGAGCTGAATGCCACTCGGCGGCATTGGCTATTCATTCACTACCGTTTGGCCGTATGAAAATAGGGGCGAACAGCATTGAGTGAACTGCCGGAGCTTTGGCTCAGCCAATCCAGATGTTGGATTGGTTGAGTCGAACGGCTTCTGCACTTCAGCTGAGCGGAACCTGCAGAGCATATTTGGCTGACCAAAGGCAGCCGAAGACAGCCGATGTACAGCTGATTTTAGCCGATGTACAGCTGAAATTAGCCGTACTGAGCTGAAGTGAATGACTGAACTTCGTTCGGCTAAATTCACTTTGGCATGGTTATTCACTCTGCTCCCTTCGGCAGCTTTGTGAATAACCCCCTTAGTGTTGAAGGACACATCTAGTTTTAGAAATGTAACTAATTTGAAATGCTCCTTTTGATCTTGATTTCAGATAGCCAATTGGTGAACATCTTAAAGAAAATCCAAACTCTAGAAGCTGTGCCCCCACAAAAAGGCCAGCAGAGAGCAAACAACTACTTACTTGTTGTGACTGTATTGCCTGCGGTCTCCCTGCAGTTGATCTTTTCCCCATTACTGACTTATCATACCCTGTTCCTCACTGTCAGGGCTTTGCTTCCTAAATTCTGCATGTCAGAGTTGTACAAAAGGAGAAGCACAGTAGTAACATCCCCAAATATCACTCCAAATCTCATGAGACTAGTAAATAGCAAATCTCCATTATTTGAGGTCACATCCACTTGACGTGGCATTACACACCCACTGACAGGTATTTCACCATTTGTTTTTTCAGGTATTGAAACCCTCATTACATTATTAAATAATGTTTGTGTAACTTAGAACGCTCCAAATGATGTTTCATTAATCACTTTCTATGTATGGCCCCCATGTCATCTCAAATAAACTAAGTACAACAATGTATCCAAAGTAAAGAGTCTTGAAACAAATAACAGAGAGAATATAGCAACCATTTTAATTCATCTGCTGTTTATTTACATTTATTGCAACATTTTCTTTCATAATGTCTCACACTTGGCATGTTTTATTATAAATTACATCACTGTTGTTTCCAATGAGGTTAAAGTGGAAATCGCCTGATGCTTGTTTCTAGACTTTATGGGAGATACTTAACCTATACTAGAGACATTATATTACAGTGTGAGGACTACTTTGATATAAATAAGACTGTACAAAGATAAACCTGTTCTGAGAAAAATGTTTTGCAATTGTCTGAGCACAAAATTCAAATGCAAAAAGGTTATACAAAATACATGTAACATCTACTGCAATGTGTGGAATATTCCAAGAACTTGTTAAATGTAAGACAGATTAAAGTCCCCTAGCAGAGTTTACTAAAGCATTAACGGTAACTGATCCTAAAAGTTGTTTTTATATATAATATTAACAACCACATATGGATGTTCTTTAGAATATTTTAAAGCAAACCTGTCAGGAAAATCATGTCTAGCACAAAAAAATACCCTGCAAAAAAAGGGGATACGTACCTTTCCTGCTGCCTGAACCACCAAACACTGCACCGTTGAAAAGGAATACTCTGCTAAAGTCTGCTGAGAGGCCGATACTCCAGGCAATGTTAACCTTATGTGTCTCCTGCAGTGATTAGTGGTTCTTTCTGCCAACTTTCACATCACTACTGTTCCCAGTAGTAACATGGAAATGAGCAGGATAGGAGGAACCACTGCATGGGCAGCAGGAAAGGTAAGTATCTTCTTTTGCAGGGTATTTATTTTGCTAGGATTGATTTTCCTGATAGGATTGCTTCTGAATGTTCTACAGAGCCTCCATATGTGGAGATTAAGTTTATATATAAGAACAACTTTTAGGATCAGTTACTGTTAATAGTCTCTTAATCAAATCAAATACGATTATGTATTTTCAGTAAAGCATCAATGAATAATAGCCTACAGCAGCTAATCAGGATTCATTTTCAGTTATCTGAATACAAACCTGTGGCAAAGATAAAAATATTGTCCACCATTCATATGGCAATGCTGACACTTGCTGATACGTTGTTGAGGCGCTGGGCATAGCACTGTTGGGTGTTAGTGAGATCCATGTCTAATCTTCACACTATCTGTAAGTGAAATGACCGTGAGGGGTTTTGGGTGGCACTACATTGACAACTGTAATATGAAATCAATCGTGTGGCAAAGGCAATGTAGTGCCTAGATGATGGCAGAAACTATCAACACATACCTTTTTTTAATTATTATTACTTTTATTATTTGTCAGTAGTGCATCTGTGGAACTGTCTGCACTCAATGGTAGTTTAGAATATCCATAGCCTTCACCCAGATCTCATACTACAATGCCTGATGCCAGAGCAACCAATGGACAAGTGCTGGCATTGTAACCTGTGGATGTGCCTATATTAGTGCATAGAGCAACCTTGGAAAGTCATATGCACGGGCCACTCTGCAAAGGCTCCAAGTGGGGCTTCTATGCCAAATCATACATCTGTAGGTATCTAGAGCTTAGGCTAGTTTTTGTCTTTGTCACTAGTTCGCTATGAATCTTACTGGTTGCTCTGGGTAATTGCACTTTGCACTGCATCTTTTCTCTTTGCACTTCTTACTGAATATCTGAATAAACCATTATCTTTAAGCAGAACATGAATATGCTATGCAAGCACACACTATCAATGTTTAATGCTTCTCTGCATTGACAAAACAGAACAAATATAATTGCTTTGTTATACTATTTAAAAGTGTACCTCTTTCGCCTAAAGGAGGTAAGGGGGTGTTGGAGAGGTGGTAACTTTTGGTACCGCAAATGTACGTTTTTGATATCAATATACTTTCTCTGCAGTGCACATTAGTGCTTGTCCATATAGCCCTTATGGTAAACAATTGCTCATATTCCATATAATTGAAGCCGACTTGTGACACTGAAGCTGTCACAGGCTGGCTCTATTGATCGGGAAGTCAGCGAACACATTCCCGCTAGTCGCTGACTTCCCGATCATCTCCCTGCAGAGAGCAGTGACTGTCAGTCACTGCTCCCCACAGGGGTTCCCCCCTCCCCTCTCTGTTTCTCTAACACTGACTGAAGGAACGGATGGAGGAGGGGACGGGCACAGGTGGCTCTTCCTCTAGAGGGGCAGAGCCAGCTGTCAATCAGCAAGCGGGGTGGATCTTGAGAGTATTGTCGGGATCCGTCCTGGCTGTGGCGCGGCTCTGCACTTTCAGCATACATGCTGAGTTTTGGGTCACCAGAGGACATAGTCAGTAGGAGTATATGCCCTCCCGTGACCCTGGAGAGAACTATGAGAAAAAAAGGTTGCCTCATAGTTCTCCTTTAAGATGAACATTTCCGTTCCCAAGAATGTGAACATAGCCGTTCCATTCTGTTTTTGCGCATATATAAGCTACGCAAATATACGGCTCCATACGCGGCTGTGTGTATGGAGCCATTTATTTGCATATGTTGCATATGGTACGCGCGTATATGCGCGGCAGTGTGAATGAGGCCTAAGACTATGAAGTTGTATGCAGCAGCATTCCCACATTTTAGTTTAATAATTCAATGCCGTGCATGTAGGTAATGATTTGATAGGCACTTCTGTATCTTGATATAAAACGTAGTGCTATACAAGCAAATAGATCGCTGTTACAGATCAATGACAGAAATCAAAATGCGAAATTAGAACTGGCAAGGAATAGTAGTGCCCTGGTTCCCGGAATATTGGGCTATAAAAGGAGATGTTAAGCTTTGGAAATAATAAAGCTTTTCCCATATTTAGAAATGAAGAAAGAAAGAAAGAAAGAAAGAAAAGGGAAAGAATCAGAGGCAAAAAGCATTGCCTACCTGTCCACCTTATGTACTGTATATGTATTTTAGCTCATTTATTTACCTGTTTACCTGGAGTTTGGCTCTGGATTCATGTTAAGTTTATTGAATCGTACAACTATTGTTTGGTGTTCACTAAGCAAGAAACTAAAAATTTAAATTACCATCTGCCAACATTTTCATTAGATCTGATAGATAGAATAGGAAAGGGTTAGAACCCCTGTTTGGTTTTATTGTTATGTGGGATTCCTCCTCACCTATCCTAGGCAGACATAAAAGAAATACAAATCTAACACAACTTCTAACCCCTCCTAACTTAAAAAAAAACACAAAACAGTTTCGGTAGATTTTCATTTACAAGCCCTTCACTTTAAGGCATTCAGGTTTTCTCAATGTAATGTATATTTGTTCAACAATAGAACTTGTATAAATTATTTTTCTAACGTTAAAGCAGAATTAAATCTTATCCCTTGCAGTGGGGCTACTCATCCACTGCAAGGGTTTATTGCTTGTTTTGTCTAGGGAGTTAAAATAATAGAGACATACTCACCTGAACCATAATCCTGGCTGGCTGGCTGTTAGTCCCTTCAGCCTGTCTACTCCTCCGCTCCAGTGATGGAATGTCCTCAGCAACCTTATGTCCAATACACTGTATTAGACATGATGACTCAAGAACCTTAGATGGCTAAAGTGGAGGGGGAGTTGAAGGGACCGGTTTTACAGCTAGCCAGGATTGTGGTGCAGGTGAGTATAACTCTTTTATTTTAGCTCCCTAGACAAAATGAGCACTTAACCCTTGCAGTGTGGGGGCGTAGCATGCAGTTCTTTAATATACTGTACTATACCATTGCCAGTGTATATTCTGTATTGTGCAGTACACATGACAATGGCATAGTTAACTGAGCACCAAGCTGTCTTGTGCATTTGAAGGAGGTGGGTGGCATCCAGAATACATCTGTTTGCGGCGCTTTGAGCTCTTCTTCCCCTTGTTTTTCTTGGATTTTTTAAGATTTTTTTTCTTGGCTTTATTACTCTCCTTGTACCATGGACCCCAAACTCCACCATTAAGCTTAGGGTTACTTCTCGGGTCCCTCGGGGGATAACGCACAGGAACTGCGGATTTATTGAACTGTGCCAGTTTTCGAAGCAATTGCTTTACAACGTCTGGGTATTTTTTTGATAGGTCAACTCTTTCATATGGATCAGCTGTTATGTTAAAAAGCCACAAAGACTTCCCATTTGATGAAGAAACTCGCTCATTGTGCCAACGGCTGAGTCCAACATTGGTGAAACTTTGTGGAGGCACCCAATCTCCATAACCAGGATTTCCGGTAAGCAATTTCCAGTGGTTCACCCTAATAGCAGATTGGATGGCAGTATTCCAAATACCAAATCCAGCTGCCCAGGAACCGTTTCTTGCTTTGGTGTACATAGGATCTATATTGTGCAGAATGTCCACTCTTGGAGAAGGCTTTTCTTCACTTATTGCTTCCCATACGTCATAACCATCCAACTGCATGTCTTCATCTATATTTCCACCAGCCAATGTAATTAATGTAGGAAACCAATCTGTTATATGTATGAGTTCCTTACACACATAGCCCTTGTTTTTTAAAAATGGGCTGTGCACAAAACTAACAGCTCTTATACCCCCTTCCCAATATGTGCCTTTGCTACCACGCAAAGGCCAGTTGTTACCACCTGCCATTGGTTGCCCACCATTATCTGATGAATAGATAATGACACTGTTATTGTAGAAACCATATTTTTTCAAAGCAATGGTAATATTTTTAATTGCATCGTCTAAGCATGACAACATTGCAGCATATCGTCGCCTATTGATATTAGTAATAGATTTATAATTTTCTAAATAGTTCCCAGGAGCTTGTAGAGGTGAATGCACTGCTTGATAAGCTATGTAAAGGAATAAAGGTTTCTTAGGATTGTGAATAGCCAAGATTTTCTGCACTCGTTGGGTATACATCTCTGTGGAGTAAATACCATGGTCATGCTCCCATGCTGCATTGTCATTCTCATATAGGTCGTATCCACATGTTCCCGGGCTGTCACATTTGTAGTGATTGTAGTAATCTCCACTGCCCAATAGCGATCCAAAGAATGAATCAAAACCTCTATGCGTTGGCATGCATTCTTTACGATAAAAACCCAGGTGCCACTTCCCTACCATGTGTGTTGCATAGCCAACTTCCTTTAGTTTCTGTGGCAAAGTCAGGTTGTCCAGAGGTAGGCAGTTTGGTTGAGAAGGCCTTATAATAGAATGCTGGAGACCTGTGTGAATCTGGTATCTGAAAAAGGAGAAACATATATTAGTTAAACATGGTCATTTCCTTTTCTTTTCATTTTCAAGTTAATCTGTGCCCAGACTTTGGACAATCAAATATTTTAATGGTCTTGATAAGCAGTAAATGAGCTTTAAAACAAGCTTCCAGTGACTTCCTTAGCCACAGACACTGTGCAGGATTTCTTTCAGAAGACATATCTAAAGGTGAAACGTTTTTGTATTGGAAAGGGTGGGGAAGGGACAAAGTCCATTTTTTTTTTTTTTTGCATCTTGGTCAGATCTTAGATGGCTGAAGGCTGCCAAGTCACTGCTGGGTGAGCCAGGGACAGGGGTGAGCCGAGCTGCTGAGAGAACCTTCTAATAACTTAATGATCACCTTAAAATATTATGTCACTAGAGTAAAATAATTTTATTACAAGCAACCTGTAAAATACAATGGGGTCAATTCACAAAGCTTATTTTCTTCATTTCGTCCGTTATTTATTTGATATCGCTTGTTATATAGTTGCTGTGTAAAGGTAGTCAACTCACAAAACTCAATAACGCTTCTTATTTTTAAGAAGTGGTAAATTAACTATTCAGATGTTATTTTAACTATTCAGACGTTATTTTAACTATTCAGACGTTATTTTAACAACTGGAGTGATAAAATAGGCTTGAAATGCAATTCACAAAATAAAAAGGTTCTTTTATCACATGTTATTGAGACGTAGATTTATCACCTCCTTCAGGGTGGCGTTATGACAGATTTCAGGCATTATCTGATGCTTGCTGCACTGAGATGACATGATGTAGATAGAAATGGAACCTTTTTTCTTCATTTTCACATGGCTTAATGCTTTTGCGTACAGAAGAAGAAGGCGGCATGCAGTTATCATTTCTACAGTTTTTATCCTTCTACAAATGTAGATGACTTTTTACAGTTAGAGGTTAGTGGTAAATCTCACATGACACGGAAAATCAAATGTCCCTAGATACCCTTCAGTGGGGTTGTAGAGCAAGTGGATTGTTCCATGCAACATATTTAATATCAAGACAGGCTTTATAGCTGGAAAGGAGAATTGATTGCCCTCCCTACACGGTCTGATTGTCAACAGATGTAGATCTAAATAAATGTAATGTTTCATATATTCATTCCGTTCAGAAAAAACCTTATTGCAATCTCTATATGATTTCTTCTCTACCAAATTTAAAATGAGTATGCATGTGGCGAATATGGAATATATTCCTTCCTTATATGTGTAATCCTTTTATGTGGTGAAAGTAAAAGTAACACAGTCATTTAGGCATCTGCTCCACCCCTTCTGCTACCAAAATGCACTGCAAGCGTGTTAAAATAACACCCAAAACGTTATTTTATCACAGTAATAGATAAAATAAAGTCTGTGATGTTAAAATAACACTTGCTTAAGGAACGTTAAAGTGTGTGTGCATTCACGATTCCGGCTTTTGTGAATTGCATGTTTTCAGCCAGTAAAATAAAGAGTGGTAAAATAAGGACAGATAAATTAACTTCTACTCTAATAACGCTGAGCTTTGTGAATTGACCCCAATGTTTAATACTTACCTTTCAAGTAGGGCTTGTAGCCACAAGCCCTACATCACAACAGGACACAGCAGCAATGTAGCTGATGGTGGGAGCAACCACAGTGCCCAGCGGGGATCAGGTATCTGACACACCCTGTAGTGTTGTATGCCAGCGGCACCTGAAGCTCTTCCAGAGACATCAAGGGGAATCTATCAAAACTGTAGCTGACAAAATCTGGAGCAGCTGTGCATGGCAACCAATCAGCTTCTATCTTTCATTTTCACATCTTAACTGAACAGACTGAAAAGTGAAGCTGACTGGTTGCCATGGGCAACTGTTCCAGATTCTGTCTGCTTGAGGTTTGATAAATTCCCCCCATCTTGTTTTATAGGGTGCTTGTAATTTTATAATTTTAGCCCATCAACAATTTAGTTAATTGTATTATTTTAGCCAATTTTTACAGTGCATGTCAATAAATAGTTTTTGGCTGAAGTTCAGCAATAATATTTTAAAGTAAAAAAAAACAACAAACGTAGACTTTGATACTACTAACAAATGACAAAAATGCAATCACTAAAAAAAAATCACAGGAAACAAATCATCTGTCCATCAGTAAGTGCCAGATCTAGTGAGGAAGACTAATTTAAACTCAAGCATTTCAATGCTCAGAAGTATATGACCATCCTTGCTTTGTCCATATGTGTGCTCCTCTTATCTTCTGGGAGTCAGAGGTCACAAACCATTAGACATCAAAGGCTAGCTCTGCTATGTGCCAGTACACATTTAAAAGTACTCTTAAAAAGCAACAAGACCCGAGCCATGTATTGTAATAGCAGATGGACATACTAGGTGGTCTGTAAACCTTTAATAAGATATTATTTTTAAACCTGAACTCCAGGAAGATATAAATGTCATTTAATTCAGTGTTGGATTTATTAAAACATTTTATTATTTAAACTCAAAACATTGAGTTTAAATACAACAGGTAAACTAGCTATTCCTCTGTAAAGAAGCACTTAGACAGTATGAGGGAAGAGAATCAATCAAGCTCTGCAGCAGTGTATAGTTATTGAAAGTAAAAATGTTTAGAGAAAGGGAAAGCACAGTGATCAGAGGGATTGCATTATTCATTTGCTGATGCTCTTTAAATATTCAATAAGAGGGCTAGGCTAAAGGTCTTGACTAAGTTGTGCTTCTGCTATGGAGGTTGAGAGTGCTTGCTGTCATTTCTGGCATGGGTACCTGGATCATAAGACTTATTGAATAGAATTAGAATCATTTGGCAAGTAAACATTTCCCATATATGTACTGTATGTAGCTCTTTGCATGGAATGTAACTTTAATAGGTACAGGATTGAATGCATTTTCAACTTAATTACATGCTTATTAAACTATTTTAATCAAGTCATATGAAAATAATTCAATTATTATTTTTGTATTATGCTTGAATAACATAAATTTAATTATTATGCTTTTATGGTTAAAAATTGTACTGTGAGCCTCTGCCTACTATGGTTAAAGGCATATATTTTAAAGCATGCTGCCCTTGGATAGTGTATACAGTTCTGGTAACTATGTATCAGAGGGATGAATATAGAAACATTAAAAATGACTAACCACATGCGCACACATTCAGTCTCAAACCAAGAGCAATGTTTAAACTGTAATCAATTACAATCAGAATTCATCTCTTAGTGATTTAATCTTGTCTTGAATTGTATTGTGATTTTAATGTCTTCCTTATATTGTAAAGCGCTGTGCAAATTATTGGCGCTATATAAATCCTGTATAATAATAATAATAATGTCAGTAAATTTGGATGGATTCCTATTTGCTCCAGCTCTTTGCACATCATTGTACACTGCTTTATTAAATGCATCTGAGTATTAATTATTTTTATAATTAGCATGTTTATTACTTACAATTGTCATACCGATAATTAACTACCTTCCGGCCAGCCTTGGCCTGGCCAGGTAGGGGATCTTAACACCTGGTCTTCAAGCAGTTAAAAATACCTGTTTGACTGAAGCCATAATTTTATATGGTGCCTAAAAGTGTACACCTAGGGATTTCTCAGATTTACCCCCAAACCTCCCTCTTTCTGATGACACTGTTTTAGAATTCAGTGCAGGAAAAGCAGATAAAATAGGAAGTCGGGACCACACTGGATTTCTGGGAGACCAACAGGTATTTTTCTGTACTTGCAGCTGTTTTAAAATATAGAGAATGTGCATGTATAGGACAGATCTTGTGAATGTTTTTTTTCCCCTGAAATACACTTTAATTTCCCTGTAGGGAATTACTTTAACCTTTCCACGTGGGGACATATTAAGTCTGTCTTAAGTGTCAAAATGTGGTCAAGTCTGCTAGACAAATATAAGCTGTATCCAAATATTTGGGTGGGCGAAGTTACGTATGGTTGCCTTGATCCCCCCTACCTCATTAGTTTACTTTTCTAATTCCTCCAGGTATTTTAGTTGTACTGATGAAAGAAGATTGAACATATGCTCTTTTCAGGAAGAAGTCACCTCTGAACTTCTGCTAGGCCATGACATAACTCCACTGTGACTAATATTAAGACCAGACATTAAGCACGTTAAAACCTAGCCAAGTCAATGTCTCACAAAAATGTACCAAACTGTGATTCATGTGTTATTTACCAGAACAGTCATTTAAGCCACGTAACTGATATTGTGTTCTTTGCAAACATTTTTATTGAAAAGACAGAATAGTGTACAAACATAGGTATATTATATTGCCCCTATATACTAGGGGCAAGACAAACAACAGTTCTGTATATACCGTATAAATATATACACATTATATATATATATATATATCCAAAAAGTATGTCTACATGTACCACAGAAAAGTACATTTGTACTTTACCAGTAATGAGACACCAGGGTCATGGCATCACAGACAAGGTATGGACTAGAGGGCCATTCTGACTTAAATTATAGCAACAAGAAAAGCTTAAATAGATCATATAATCATATTTCCAGGAAATGACACAGATAAGAAGCATAACAATATGACTGATATTTTCCGCTGTGATTGGCTCTCATTATTGAAAATAACACAATAATCACCATCATGTGTTAGTGACCTGACTGTGCTGTTAAGATGTGCACTTCAAATACTAATGTTTTTAATACTAATATCTGGATTGTATAAAATACTTCTGTTTTTAAAATACAAATATGTAGGTTGTATAAAGATATAGAGATATAAGATATAAAGGTGGCCCCTTCATATACATTAGTCCGCAGACAATAGAGGACAATATGCAATCATCAAATAGCTCATATCACGTTGATTAAAATTTGTCTGCCTTTAAGAAGCTTTTCTTTAACTGACCCTTTTTAGACAAAAGGTCATTGAACCCAAATTCATCAGTGCCAGCATGTGTGGGTTAACTTGAGGATAAACAGACAGAATAATAAGTTAAGGGTAATTATTGGAGTAAGACCGTC